CCTCATGATGTCTGTCATACACTGTATTTCATTTTTCATGCATGTCCATTACCTCACCCTTGTAAATATAAACTTTCTCTTCACCTATTCAGGGTTTTTCTGTCATAGTCCTTTTATATGTTTACATCTTGTTCCAACAACAGTTTCTTTTTCATTATGAAATCTCAACGAAAATGCTGAGCTCACAGATGACTGCTTTAGACATACTTGCTACAAGATAGTCCATAATTAGAATCAGAATGCCTCTATCGGAAGGGATCTTCTAAGACCATCAAGACCAACTGTCTGACCACTTCAAGGCTAACCAAAAGTTAGAGCATGTTAAAGACATTGTCTAAATGCCTCTTGAATGCTGACAGGCACGGGGCAGTGACCACATCTCTGGGAAGCCTGTTCCAGAGTTTGACCACCATCATGGTAAAGAATTTTTTTCTAATGCCGTCTGAACCTTTCCTTGCACACCTTTGTGCCACCACCATGCATCATATCTTTGGTTACAAGGGAGCAGAATACAGCATCTCCCTCTCCACTTTTCTCCTCAGGAAGTTGTAGAGAGCACCGAGTCAGTTCTTCACCTCCTTTTTTCTAGAATAAAGAACCCAAATGTCCTCAGCCTTTCCTCATAAAACTTGCCTTCCAGCCCTCTTACCAGCTTTGCTGTCTTCCTCTGGATTATTTCTAGAAGAAAAAACTACTTTATCCTTTTTATGTTGTGGGGCCCAGAACTGCACACAATGCTCCAGGTGATGCCACACCAATTCTAAAAATAGAGGGAGAATCATCTTTTCTGATCAGCTGGCTATATTGTCTTTAATGCACCCCAAATGGATTGTAGCTTCCATTTTCAATTCCTTTCCCCAAAGTTGTTGGTGAAAATTCAATTACTGTTAATAGAACAGACCACTAGAAACCTGTTTTCATTGATTATTAAAATCATAGTGAAAGACTACGGGCCTGCCTAGCCTGCTCTGCAGAAGACCAAGCTAACTGAGACTTATCTGCCAGATGAAGTCTATGCCTTATTGGATCTCTCTTTTTGCTTGATGCCAGGGAAAGCCACTCACGCTGTAATGCTATGAAACAAGATGTTGGTGCAGTTGTCATCTCACTCTTAAAGCCTCCAGGTTTTAATTGTGTAACAATTAATTCCAATCATACCTGGGCATAAATATAATTTTTGTTTAACCTTCTGCAAATACAGAAATGTTAGTGGTTCTGACATTAGTAACTCAGTTTTCATTATTCAGAATTAATTCTTCACCTAAACACCCATTCTTGCTCTCTCAATTTCTCCATCAGTTTCACTTCTATTTCTGCAGACTACACAGCACAGTCCTTCATCTTTCTGTTCCATCTTTTCTTTCTCCAAACACAGTGTTATATATCTATTCTGCTCCTACACAAGTGTATCTTCCCCTTGGGTTTCACTCCCCCCTTATACTTTTCCATTCTTCCTTCTTGATAGCTGAATAACCATAGAGTGAAAAAACTACAGAAATGCTCTCAATTCTCTATCCCACTGCTCCTTATTCTCAGGTTAGGTATTACTAAGGTCCATAGAGTAAAATCAGAAAACTATTCCTTCACTCCCAATTGTGGATGACTTGAAGGATGTTTGCATTTGAATCAGGATGCAGCAGTCCAGAGCTACTGAATGCTTTCTAGTCTATATCCTTATTCCCAGTCTGAGAAGCTAAAGCTGAGAAAGAGCTCTCCTTGCCTGGTGCAATAGTATTGATCATATATAAATGAGGAAGCAGAATAATCATGAAAGAAAACAGTAAGAGCAACTTTCCAAACCACTAAGACTTTCCTATTATCTATATATCCTAAAACTGCAAATAATTGTGCCCTGAAGTATTTACATATCATCTATTTAAGTGTGCAGATCATCTAAATTGTTGATATTAAGTGTCATGGAAAAGAGGTATTATTAAGAAGATAGAGAATTAAGAGAGAATTAAAGAATATCTGCATTTTCCAAGTATTTCAAAAGAAAATTATACATATAAATATATATGTATATGTATATATACAAGTGGGAACATAAATTTATGGACATTTGTTGAGAATGTTTTTCTATTTCCAGTTTGCGAACTACACTTTGAGTTTATAAAGATTCTGTTTGCACTGCTTCCTTTAAAACAACAAAGAAATTATCTGCTTCTCCTTTATAATTATTAAAAGGTAAGTAGTTCTGATCATTTCAGATTATCTTATTGTGATAGGGCATTGGGTTATGAAAAGCAGACCTAAAAATATGTTGACATCCATGTACAAAAGTTATGATATTCCTTGAATGACTTATAATAAATAAATAGGTTTCTTTTTCTTCCAATTAACTAAATACCAGTTTTTTGTTATAGTATATATAATATATGTGTAGTCATTGTAGATATTTTTGTTTCTTATTCTATTATGGTTAATGTGTTCAGAGGAGCTACAGATATCACAGAAATATGAACAGCTGCAGAAAATAAAAAAATCTCCACAGCAGAAACAGTTTGCCATTTAAAGGTTAAACGTTCTTTTTGAGAAAAGATTTTGAGAAAATTAATCTGATTAAAACGTTGTGGTGAACCTTATGTATGCACTTGAGATTCAGACATTCAGAACTGAACAGTGATCAACTTTAATTACTTCCGCTACCCAGTAAGGAAAAGAAAATATTTTCCTCAGATTTGTGGATATCCCTAGTTTGTTTTGTTGTTCCATTTCAAATAATTTATTTTTCATTTAAAATTATTTTATGCAATTGCATTTTTAGCCCCTGTAATCCCCCTCTTTTTTTTTTTTTTTTTTTCATGGAGACACAGGTTTGATAAAAATAAATTAGGACATTTTGCTTAATTGAGGTTGTCAGATGTTCTGACTCCTTCATTCACACTTGCATTTTTAATACAGCAATTTTGGCTAAAATACGGTAATTTAGGCTAAAATTACTTTTTCTATCAAATGTCAATGGATTATTATTATTATCTTTTTAATTCATGCAATTTCATCAGGAATGTAGAACACGATAAAGAATTACCATGTAAACAGCTGTTTTACTTTGATCCTTTAAACTTATGGGTGGTTTTATATAAATTCTTTGTTCTAAAGATTTCACATTCATGGGAAATCTTGAAAACATATAAAAGTTTAAGCTAATGATTATTCAGTAGGTAAAAATAGAAATAAAATGTGATTTAAAGTACCATATCTACAAACTTTGAATTTAATCAAACAATCTCTATCTTATTCAAGACAATTTATTTTTAAAATGTTAATTTGTACTTCTGAAGACAGTAGAAAATATGCGTTTAGATTGGCAGCTAGCACATGATGTGAATCACATTCAACAATAGATGTAAGTTGTGTTTTCTACAAGAATAGTATGTCTTTTATAGTTTTGTCTTTTATAAATATGTAAATGTTGTGGAGGTTTTGCTAAGATTTAAAAAAAAAATGTTGCAAGTTAATTTATGGATTGAAAATGCATGTTTTAAATGTTTTTAAATTGAGGAAATCTTAAAATTTAGGCTTTGCAGTAGATTATGAGACACCCTAGGAGTTCTGTCCTGTTGATCTGATTATGGAATTGTAATGGAAGTAAAGGAAGCAGTGATCTCTGTCCCTTAGCACCCTGTGTTCTTAGTTAACACCAGGGTTTCTAACTAGAATATAATAAATGTATATAAAGCCCAGCTTTGATACTAGAATACTAACTTTGTATGAAACAAAAAAAATAAACTATTATATATAATTATATGTTCCTTTTGCACAGTGTAGTGAAAAATCTGTTGTCTCTGGCTGTGATAAATATCTTCTTGTTTAGAAGACATAAACAAGGTGGAATACTTAAACCTAACACTGAAATTCATAATTATCTTGCCAAAATCTCATAATAAAAAGAATTGCCAAAATGAGTGTAATAACACAAGAAATGCATGCTAATCAGTGGCTGGATTTGATAATGCAAAATGATTATATTAAAATTAGACATTAAAATAATATGCATATATAAACTCTCAAGTTCTGAAGCTTTATTATTATTATTACTATTATGTTGCAAATGATAATGGTAATAATGGTAATAATGGTAATAATGGTAATAATGGTAATAATAATAATAATAATAATAATAATAATAATAATAATAATAATAATAATAATAATAATTTTGTTGCATATTTCCACTTAGAACATTGTTGTGTGACTGGCATTTTAGGTTAGTGTTAGGAACATATAGCATAATGGAAAGGGGATATGTTTTGCCACTAACATATTTAACAAAATATTTGGGGTTCTAAAAGTAGGCAACAAGTAAATTCCAGTGCACTGTTGAATCTTTATACCACCAGGAGCAGAATTAGATTTTATAATAGTTGTGTGCCTCCTATATGCAAAGAAAAAGGAAAAGTAATATCTTTTTGTCACTGTAATGTGCTGTGAAAAGTCAACCGTCAACCCTTTTTTTCATAGGGTTGAGCAGAATTTCAAGACAGGTACATGTTTTGCAAATAGTTTTAGGACTCAATGCTTTAGGAGGCACTTTGCAGTTGAAATCAATGGCAGCGTACCACTAGATGAACTTAGCAGGATGAATTAGCCATGACATAGTGGGAAATGTCTATCATTTTATGATAGATATTTCCAATGTCTAACATAAAAGAACAGCCAATATTCCTAAACTGGTGGCCCATTAAATACAAAAATGACAAAGACTGGCACCAGGGCTGTGGGGAAGTGTCAGAAAGTCATTTGTTTTGCATCCAAAATAAAAATTTCAAGATCTCAGGCATTTGCTTAGAAGCATGAGGTGCACTCATAGATCATATGGTTTAATAGGTATCTTCATGTAAAATGAATGCAACTCATCTGCTCCAAGACTGCTTTTAATAGGATCCAAAGTTTAATTTGTGAAGAAAGATTGATAAATGGGAATTGGGAGATTTACTTTAACAGTATGCTCCTGAAACAAAATACTAATGTAAACACACCTCAGCAGTACAATATTCTTTGTCACATGTACTGTCTTCTGAATTTTTATTCTTAGTATTATGGGCTTCCTGTTTCTTCTCTCTTCCTTCTTTGTGGTGTATACTTTTCTTCTGAACTCCCTGTGAGTTCAGTTGAAGCAGGCTCAGATCAATTCCCAATTTCTCATCATGTGTCCGTGGTTTACAGCCCCTTTTCTTCAGTAGCTCCTGCCATCCTCCTGACTTGGTTATGTCCATTCTGTATCACTCACTTTTACCCATAACCTCATTTTTCCATGGATGAATGGTATTCTTTCTCTTTCTCTGAGGAACAACTGAGGACTAGATTCTGCAACAGAATTATGACAGCTGAGGAGTTATTTTCACTAACTTGGTGAAAACAGACAATCTAAGTTATCTTCTCACCTTCCTCTCAGTTCTATCTGTGTGTCAGTCTGAAGAAAAGCTTGTGTATATCTATGGGAAAAAAAAAAAAGTTTAAAAAGACGAGTTCCAAAATGCCTGTGAAATTAATTGGTATTTTTCATTTTCATTATCATTTTAATTAATTGAAAATAAGTTTTATATTCTTACAGTGAAAACTGGAAGCCAAGAAGCAAATAATTACCATGTACATGTATATGTCATAATTATATCTGTATGTAGAGATAGATGCAGCAACATGCCTCAGATATCTAAATATGTAGACTTCTATATAAAATATAATAATAAAAATTGCTTAAAAAAATAGGAGTGCCAACAAAGGTTGTGTATTTGCATATAAATCATCAGATTGCCTATTAAAATTATTGAAATGGTATATTTATCAAATGCCTTCTTTGTCCAAATAATGTATCTTATAAATTGAAATAATTTTCATATTTTCATGTTTCAAATCTTACAGCACAGAAACTGCTCAGATATCAATTGCTAAATTCGTGGAGGCATATGATGATCCCAGAAGTAAAAGCTATACAGTTTTGTGTACTTTTCATTATTTCACAAAAAAAAAAAAAATAAAAAAATAAAAAAAAAATTCTTGTAGTTTGCAAATGCAAATCAGTTTGCATTATTTTTGCATTTGTGTTAGAGGTTTCTAAATTTTTCCTGAGGAAAAGAAAAATAATTTAAAAAAAATCACAGTCTTAACAAGTGTCATGCCCCATCAAGAAGGAAAAAAGTACTATTTTCTTCATTCTATTTTCTTAACAATTGAAAAAAAAAATATATATATATATAGAAGGCAGTAATTAGTTACCTACTTCAGACCTAAATTATCTCTTCTGTGAAATTAAAAGGGAAAAAGGGACAGGGGACAGTGTCATCCTTCTTGCTCATTAAAGTAATATTAAGAAAATTTGAAATAATTGGCTTGTAAAAATCAGTAGGAATTTGACAGTGGTAAAAAGATGTATGCCACTGTGTCTCTCAAACAACTTTACTGCATCGTTCAACCAGTCATTGAGATGAAAAAAATGTTTGAATTGTCCTGTGGTTAATTTCTCTGTTTTTGAGAAGAATAGAGATGGCAATAAAACTCTACAAGTTTCAGTGTTCAAACCTCTATAGAAGGCATCAAAAATGAGTAATTACAGGAGACACATAAAGATATGACCAGATCTTGAGTTCAAAACAGAAGAGTATGTATGGTCAGTTTAGTATAAAAGCACAAACTGGAATTTTTCATGTTTACCAACTCCTTCAGGATTACTTGCAGTCTCTATATTATTAAGCGTGATATTGCAGATCCATAAGAATTTATGGACATTGTTGAATTACTTTAAAATGCAGTGATCTTATTAATACAAATGGTCTGTGTTTTCTGTTTAGTGGCTGGTGTTATTTCTCACAAGGTGCTTATTGAAAATAGTTTTGCATTTATTTTTCATTTTCTAATAAGCTGCTGAGTGCCAAGGAAGTTGTTTGTAAACCATCTCTGCCAGTGCAGTCATTGAGATATTATTACCACCCCAAAGAGGGCTTTTTTTTTTTTTTCTGTTTTCAATTCGTGTTAGTCACTAGATAGATGGCAGCCATCTAGAGGAACAAACTGTCCTCTACAGGAAAATCCTTTGCACACATGATCTAGATGGTGTGTTGGTAGCAGAAGCTGAAGAAGGCCAGGTTCCTAAAAGAGGTTCTAGCTGCTCTACATTCCAGAAATTAGTACGTTTGGTTTTCTTTATCTGTCTGTTGTAGGTCTGAGAGCTGCTGGCAGTGATTCCGTGTGTTCTTAGCATATATTACTTCATATCCTACAGTGAGAAAAGGTAAGTAACTTTATACTTACTGTTTATTGAAGCAATAATTTAGAGAGCTGTTGCAAATGAAACAACATATTTTATCTATGTGCATGTTCACTTGGTCATTTATCACAGAGGTCATCATAACTCCTTGATTTTAAGTGTCTGATTTGGAAATCTAATGACACATCTGCAGTTAGATCAGAAGATTCCAGCAACCCTGATTAATGCTGCTCTCACACATTCTATTTTTGATAATGAAATTTTTAATTTGATTCATTTGAATCAAACTATTACTGACTTTCTGCTAAATTAATGGTGCAAAATCTACAGTCTAGGGAGAGTACAACATTTTTTTCAATAGCATATTATAACAGAGAAAAGATAGGCATTAAAGTCTCACAAACCAATCCCATGAGCTACTGTTGTCCAGCAGCTCTCTCACTCTCTCACTTGTCACTGCTCCTTGAGTGCCTCCATAGCCTTTTCTTGCAGTTGGCAGCTCTTCTGCAAACTGAGTGAGGAGCTTGTGGTTCTCTCTGTGTCCTGGGAAAAGCTGGTAGCACAATGTTCCTCTATCCCTACTTCCTCATTGTCCTTTGCTGAGAAAAGAAAAAAATTGCTGGTAAACAGCAATCAATTACTATTCTTTGTTTTTTGATCCCACATTCAGCTTAGAGGGACCTCTAATAAATGCAAACACCAATTTTGATGGTGAAAGAGCAAATGGTTACTGGAATACAGCCTGTTCCTGTGGCCTTCCTTTTCCATGCCTCAACATCAGGAAAGTGAAAAGAAAAATCCTCCTCTGTTGGCCCCTACATAAGAGGATGGCTCTCCAGACAGGACCTGTACCTTGCTTCTTTCATTATTACCTCTTTATTGAGTCTGGTACATTGCCTTGCTTGGAATAAAGTGATTTGAAAGCTTAGTTTTTCATTTCTTGACACAACTGCACATACCGCTTTGCTATATTATTTACCACTGATGGCAGCACTATTGCCTGGCAAATGTAGGGCATATTGGGATCTAATTTTTATACTTCTCAATACCCAGATGAGCACTATAGATTATGTTCAATGTATCTAAATCCATATGGTATAGCATTATGATACAATGTCTCTGTCAAAATTCCATTATAATCTCATCTGTACTGATTTCATTTGACTATTTCCTGTGAAAATGTATCCGTTGAGTACTTTTTTTTCTGTTGACCTTCCACATAGAAATCCATCACACTGTTTAAACTTCATATCTTACCATATTATATCATATTGTATTTCTGCCTGACACATTCATTTAGAAACAACGTGCATTTTATTCCTATTTATTTTAAACAGTTCTTCCTGCAATTTCTTTGTTACTCCTTATAGACAAGCTTGAAAGCACAAACTCTATTAAAAATGCTTTTGTAATATCATCTTCTTTTCCTAAAATATACTAATTCCACCTTAGCTTCTGAAGTCAGATATCCAGTGACTGAAGTGCACTAAACAGTCATGCAACTTCTCTCAAATTGAATGTTGCCTTTACAAAATAACCACTAATGCAGGACATGAGAGTGTGGTCCTCAGTATTTGCAGTTTCTATGAGTTTTACCTTAAGGTCTTGTTTAATTTGATGTAATGTAATGACATTTTAAATCATGTTAATGGTAACTACATTTATTTCCACAGATATGTGAAACAAGTCTCTTCACCAGGTGGGAGCCAGTAGCCATTTATACCATGAATTCTTGTCATCCAAGGCTATCTGTTCCTGACACCTGTTAGTTTGCTCTGATATTTTATAAAAGGTTTAAGAAATACAAATGTTTTAGAAAGTTTTTTTATGGCCTGATGATGCAGCTTAATTTGAGAAATCTTGCTGGGAGAGAGGATGAAAGACTCTTGATTCAAGAGCAATATAGGAAAAAAAAATGTTGACAATGAATAATAGCAATGATATAAATAGCAGAGTAACAGGACAACCTGGCTTCAAGATGATATTTCCCACTAAGACATACACCATGTCAAACCACAACTCTTGGGCTGACATAAAGTACAGACATCCATACAGACTGAGGCATTTCAAGGATTATAGGTAATGTTATGCAAATATTCCTTTAGTGGAACATTTTGGACACCTAAAACAGAGCAAGGAAAATGACAGATGAAAAAATTCTCTCTGAGAGTAATACAGCACAGAATGGAACAAATCTGGTGACAAACATAACTAATGTGACAGCAAAAAACATCTTGAAAACATCTGTACCTCTGAGGGAAGTGTCTGATGAATTCATGGTAAAAGATATGGGATGACATGAAACTTGACTTAGGTAGAACAAGAAGTCTTACATCATACATCACAAGCTGAGGGAGGAAAAAGTAGTCTCTAGAAAAGATTATTATTATTATTCTTTTTAATAAAGCATAAGTAAAGTTCACAATATTTTTTTGTGCCATGTTTTTGGCTGTTGGAGAGAAACATAACTCTGCTCTCTAGTCTAAGCTTGTATATTTCTGTTCTGACTCTAGCCTTTCCTTTTTAATTAAACCTGGAATTTGGGGAAGGGGACTACTCTGAAACATTTGGATAAACTATAATCCCTGGAAAGAGGTAGTAGAAGAAGAACTGTTCATGCTTTCAGTATTTGATAGTCACATGTAGTAGGGAAAACAAAAAGATAACATTAATTTAATTTCTCATTTATGTAAGTGGGTATTTCAGAAATGACTAGAACTGGCTGGTAAGCTGTTGCTGTTTTTATGGGAAAGGGGCAGAAAAGGCAGTTGGGAAAATGTAGATATTATAAACATTTGTCAAACTTCAATTTATATAAATAAATACATTGAATGTACCTGATGTATTAAAAGCTTATTTTACATTTCAGTTGTTGCAATACTAATGCATGTTCTCCTTAATTACTGCTTTGTATCAGGGGCATATCAAGTCATTTGGCTTACAACAAAATTATTTCTCTGATTTTATTTTATGACTGTCTTGCATCCATGTAATCTCTGAGTGTCTTGGGCTTCTATACCACAGTAAAATTTGGATAAACTAGTTTGTGTAGGACAGAAAAGACTATAAAAGCATAACTTCCTCAGGAAAACATAACTATTGGAAGACAGAGTGAGGGCCTTGGTGGCCACAGCTGAACACCAAACAAAATGGTTTGAATCAAAACTGCATCCCAAAGTGAAATGTTGTTTATTATGCTACAGCTCAAGCAAGATATTTAGACATTTCCAAACCCCTTCCTTTTCATTTGCATTCATGAAAGGTTGATACCTTACTTGTCAGTCTAATGTGAGATGCTGAGAAATATTTTTAAAATATTATGATATTAAATACATAATATCATAATTTCTAGTGGGATGAAAATCCCAGGTTTTACCAGCTGCTAATGGCCTCTGGAGAGATTCAGGTTGATGAGGTTTGTGATGTCAAACAGCTGTAGATGAAAATACGAGAAACAGTTGACAATAATTAAATACAGATGCAAAACTATAAATCTGAGACAAGCACATAATTGTCATGGTATTCTTTTGTATGATTTTTATGTGATATTAAATACTATTAAATTACTTTTAAGTGTAAATAGGAACATACTAATCTGCAGATTTATATTTCAGACAGTAAGGAAAGAAAACAACACAATATTTAGTTAGCATGAACAAACTTCTGAAGCTTTTTTGTTTGTTTGTTTGTTTGTTTTTTAATGTGAAATTCATTAACTGGAGAAAAAAAAAAAAAAAGTTATTTATTGAGTTCACCCAGCAATTTAAGGTGAACAGTTCACAGAAATGACACAATTATAGCCTCTTTTCTTGTGTATAGATTATCTCAAAGCAAGCTGTGACATTTCAGAGATTACTTGTAACTAAACATATTTGCCGAACAATTCTAAATCTGCAGTTTATTTGCAAAAGCTTTATATACAAATTGAATATTCAAAATTCAAGCTGCTTGATTAGGTCAATAGGCACATGTTTCTCAGAAGCTTGATTTTTCATATTAAAAATCTGATATGAATCATTCAGAATTTGCTTTTTGCAAATACTCTTCAATATTATACTCAAAATTCATCAGACCTTATTGTTAGTACCTCTATTCAACAGAATAATTACAGAAAGCAAACAATGTCCAGCCAACGTTGCTAAAATATCTATGTACCTTTCCACTGAAGGGAAACCTGGCTGATAAAAGGAATTTAATATCATAAAAGAAAAAAGAATATATTTGCTTACTCAACTTTAAAAGGAAAAATGATATTGGTATACCTGCAAATACGTAATTTCTCTAAATATATACGAGTAACTTATATTGCTACTCCTACATATTTTTTCTTAAAAAAAATAACAATTTATCTGAATTTTAAATACTAAATTAAAGTATATTTACTTGCAGAGGTTAAAAGCATAAAATTTTCTGAATTATTTTGAACCTTAGTTCAGAAGGTAACATTTCTCAGCTGCTAAGCTATACACCACTATGGGAAGCTGCTTACCTAAGCTTTTTTTCAGTGCTATAGAAAATACAAAAACAACAATTAAACTATTACTTCAATGGGAGTTGCAGTGCATACAGGTAATAAATATATGGAGCTTATTCTCTTATATCTTCATAGGCAGAGTTTCTTTCCATTTACTGGTAGGCTTATAGAACTACAAAGGCCACGAAAACCCAAAGCTAACTTAAAAGTGCAACCTCTGTTACTTTAATATTTCTGTACTGTGTATCAAGGCATCATTTACATTAGACAATGAAGAGGAGATGGGGCAGAAAACATACCTCCGAAAGACTTTCTAAAAAAAAAAAAAAAAGATGAACAAGTAGTTCTTTGCACAAAGCATTAGAAAATACCGTGATATTTTATTATTAAAAATGCTGCTGAAAAGTTTATACATATGTGTCCAGCCATATATATCTTCTATCATTACTTAAGGCAAAAAAAAAAAAAAACAAAAAGTAGCAAAACAATAACAGAAGAAACAATTAAACCCTGCGTGCCTCTTAAGGTCAAGAATATAAGCCTGGGAAAGTACTTTCGTTTTTCTTTTACAGTTTGTAAAGTATATTTTGTTATCATTATTATAGAATTCTATGAAGACCCTATAAATCTGTTCCCTCTATAAATCATACATCATTCCAGATGTATTAAATTATTAAATCAACTTGATTATAATTACTTTTAAAAGCTAAAATCATTCACTTACAGGAACTTTTTTTTTTTTTACCCAAATGTCACAAGCCTGACACAGTACTGTACATATTGCTAGCAGAAGACAATTGGAAGTACTAAACAAATACTGTAATTCACATTACAAACATACCCAACTGATTATGATGCCAAGCATCATTACCATTTTTCTTTTCATTTTTCTTTTTTTTTTTTTCTTTTTTTTTCTTTTTTTCACCTTTTTTATTTATTTTTTTATTATTTTTTATTTTTTTTTATTTTCTTAAGAGTTACGAGCTGCTGCATCTTGGCTGAGGCATTACATAGGTGGTGGAAATGGCCTGGTATAGAGACAGCATTAATCAACATTATGTGATGGATCAGTGAAAAAGATGGTTTTCCATTTGCTACTACTTGTACTTTGGGCTTGTTGCTTCACCACATTCCAACCTACGTATCCAGGTCAGGTGTACGGTGCATTTATTACATATAAGATATATATCATCCACATGTTGTGTTTTTATCATGTCATTAACTTTCTTTTTATTTCTTTCTTTTTATTTCTTTCCTTCAGAATGTTTTACTGCTTGCTATGACAAGGAGTCATTCAGATGAATAGGCCTCGGTCTTCTATTTTTTTTTTTGTTGTTGTTGAAGTGACTATTCCAAGATGTCTTATTAGGAAAAAAAATAAATATAGAAAACAAAAAGAGGTACAAGGCATCCTATGTTAGATTCTTATGGGACATATGATATTGATGCAGCTTAGTCATGAATTTATAATACAAAATACATCTGGGATAATCATGTTCAAGTGCAGACCAATTTTGTTCAAATATCTTTGGTTACAATCTCTTGATGCAGTAACGTTCTAAAATGCAAAGTGATCTTCATCTGTGAGAACTTATTTTTAGCTTTTCACATTCTAATCAGTTGTTTGAATCAAATTGCTAAATTTCTTGTTTGGTAGCTCTGCATGGATTTTAGTTTTCCAGTGAAGGAAGGGCAAAAGGGAATAATCAGCTAAGAATTTTGCCTTCCTGATATTATCTGGAATTTTTGGTTGCATTCATTTGCAAGACATCTGATGAACTCTCTGCTTCTGTCTCCATAATATTCACCAACTATGTGATTGCTGTGTAACAAACAAGCAAAGTATTTTCTGATAGGTAGGTGCTCCTCTCAGGGACAAAGCCAGGTACAGGGCAGAGAAGTTCTTTAAACCATGATAATTTCTTAACTCTTTATGAAAACTTTAAAAAACATCCAAGCCACCATTTCCCCACTTTCATTTCTTTTGTTGTTGTTTTGTTTTTGTGTTTGTTTGTTTAGTAAGAACAAGAAGGTGCTCTCCCAGCTGAGACCCCTCTGCAACTGCTGGTGAATATAGAGTTAGTTTTCCTCAAAAAAAATTGACCAAAACATAAGCTTTCTTTGATATTGTCAGGGCACAAAACTCTTCCTAATGTACTACAATAACCGAGAACTACAAACTGGACTCTTTGTATATACATTATTGGATGTCTCTTGGTTCAGTTCAACAAGCTTATTATAGTAATGTGTTGTTTTGTTTTGTTTTGTTTTGTTTTTTTCATATATTTTTTTTCCATTTTCCGATCCATTGCTGTGTTTCAATTTAATAAAGGCTAACACAAAATTAAATTATATATATATATAAAAAAAACCTGTTTCAGAAAAAAGCAACAATCTCCTATGAATACTTTAACATGCACTAGTGTAACCTGTAAGAGAAAATATGCAGGTCACACAGACAACTGTATCCTCTGCATGACACCATGGCCTCATATAAATGAAACATGTTAGAAAAACCGCATGACTTTTGTTTATCACTAGTAATTAAGAAGTAAATCCTCCTTTGGCCTGGAGGAAACAGAGGTGATATGACTAATGTATATACACATAGGTCACAACTGAATGCACAATCTTTCTAAAAGCTCTTTTCAAACTGAAAACATCAATAAAAGCTTCTTTTTGTTGTTTTTAAACTCACAGCTATGTACATTTTTACAAAGTTTCTTTAAATATAGTTCAGGCTGGCAAATCATCTCTTTGCACAGAACTATACGTATTTTACTGCATAGTCAGTCCTCCTCTTTTTTTTTTTTCATTTTTGTTTTTAATAATAAAATTCTATTTATTTCCCCCATCTGGTTTACAGCTTCATATGCTGGGAAAAAGCCCATGGTGATGTCTTTGATTTAACAAGGGCCATTCATGGTATGGCACATAAAGATTTTTTTATTATTATTATTTTATTTATTAAAAAAAAAAAAAAAGAAAAGAAAAGAAAAAAAAAGAACAAACACCTGTACAGTCACTGGCTCTGTGTTCCAGAAGACTCTGCTTGTTACACTCAAAACACAATTTTAAGTGATTTCTTCTGGACTCAACTTTCAATTAAAGGGATTGAGATCTTAAAGCAGTATTGTAACAGCAATGTACACTTTTCACATTTCACAGGGTTTGTACTTGATCTTTAATATCAGAGAGTTTCAGTGGGAAGGATCAGTAAGAAAATAATGACTGTCCTTCTCTTTTACTTTTTTTTTTTTTTTTTTTACTTTATATTTGGACAAGTTGTTCAATGGATGGTATTACAACTTCTTCTTCTTCTATTTATTTATTTTCTTCTTCCAGGTGGCTTGTGAGGGTAAAGTGGAAGGGCTGAGCTATACCCTAGTGGTTGAATGTCCATGGGGCAAATTCGTACTGTTTTGTCCTCCACTGAACGTGTTGAAAGTATGCAAAGGCTGCATTCCTGTTAATGTATTTGGGATCATGGTTATGGTGTTGGGCGTCATGAGTGGGATGTCATCTGGGGACCTTCTCAAAGTGAGTGTATAGTCAGGTGGGCAGGTTAGTCTCAGCGTGTCATGGGCCTGCAGTGATTCACACTCATGGTCATGTTCCAGCTGTTTCATCTGCAAGGACATGATCTCTTCATTTTGTATGTGCGCAATATCATTGGTTGTGTTCCTCTGGGGACTAGGGCGCCTGTGAGTTTCGTGACGCCGCTTATCCTTCTTGTAATACAATGCAGCAAAAGCTAAGATATTGAGGAACAGCAAGGATGCCCCCACAGCAATGGTGACACTCAACTCTGTGGAGTAATCTCGCTTGTTTTCTATCAGTACTGTTGTATCCTCAGGAGCTGTTTTATGGGTGTCTTTGGAATGCTTGGGGTTGTTGGCAGGTGTCATTGCTGGGCGTTTGGTAGCTGGCCACAATTTACCAGGAGAACGTCGGGTAACATAAGGAAATGATGTCATGTCAGGAGGGGGGACTTTAGTTGTTGTGGAAACATACTGAAATATTTCATTCAGGTTGTGAAGGTGTGGCACAAGCTCCAACCAGAAAGCAACTTTTGTTGCTCGGTAGTGATCACGAACTCGGGGTTTCAGGCCAATATGGAGATAAAGCTGATCTTTAGGATTGTATTTGGACCAGGCTACTTCTTCAAAGCGGTTGGGTTTTGTGTGGATGAACTTTGTGTCTTGTGGAACAGGCTGGTTTGGATCTCTACAAAAATAAAAACAAGCAATATTACAGTTACTTAAAAATAGCAACAATAACTACAACAACAACAATAAAAACTTGTCTTTTAGTTAATCCTATCCTTATATCCTTATATCCTATACTTAACCTAAAAACAGAAGAAATACTTCCCAAATTTATAACAGATGCTAATATATAAACAAAATAATAAAAAAAAAATACTTACTATACAGTGTACCTCAGACACAGTAATATTTCTTTACATGAAAACAGAAAAAGGAATGTGTTCAGCTCCCAAAAGTTCATCTGGAGTGCTGTGAGTCAGTCTCATACTCCAAAGTGGTCTTAGAGAGGTACTAATTATCTTCCCCCATAAAGTAAAGTAAAGGTGTAGCTTCTCAAGATTTGACATTAACATTCTCATTTAAGGTACCACTACTTCCACTACTGCAAGCAATAAATATAAGCATCTAATCTCCGTAGCAATGTTGAAAATCCATGTGACTATGAGAATTTATACCAGCTGTATATGACCTTAAAAACTTCAAAATGTGAAGTAGCAGGGCTAATACATGTAAACGGGTGCGATTTGTCTTTCTGTTCCTTTACTGAACTGTTAATATCCCTTTGTTCAGAGACCTACTCTTGGAAAAAGCCTTTGAAATATTTCTATGTTACAAATCATTCCATCATTTGCATTAAGAGATAACTGTCTTGTGCTCAGTACTACTAAATATCTATACTTAGTGGATTTAGGACAGTGAGTCTTAATTCCATCCCAGCTTCTAGGGATAAGACTTATGTTAGCTGTCAACAAGTTTTATAGTACTTAAGTAGCAGTAGAGATAAGAGTAGCACGGTACAGTAGCACAAAGATAATTTAAAATTTGTTAACCCAATATATTTAATTGAAATAATGCTTTTCCTATCTTTTTTTTTTTTTTTCTTTCTTTCAAAGCATTTTAAAATAAAGGCAAACATATGTACTCAAAGGCATTTAAATATGGTTGGTGTATATATATGTTTATAATTTTGTTAAACCGTACATAAATATGACTTTGTCTGGGCATGGACAAATACAGGATTTAAAATAACAATCACAGTGCAATACTTTGTTCTGCATGAGTTTGAATCTTCTATAGTAGCAAAGCATATTTTCTGAGATCTTGTGATAAATTATAATGAGAGATTCACTTTCTGCGCATTACTCTGAGAACCGTCCATTCTCCTTTCCATTCCCATGTGCATTATTATATTTCATGTGAAAATGATTTTAATATTTTCCTTCTATATTTTTTCTTTAATATTTCCTATAATTTTTCCTTCCATATTTTAATATTTTAATTTTCTTCTAATATACTGTTATTGTTATACTGTCCTGGGAATACAAAGACTCACTGCTACAGATTTTAAAGCCCTCTTTTTTTTTTCCTTTTCAGTTTTCAAAAGCTCTTGAGAATGATTGCCTAGTTTAGTGTTCCTTTGTTATTCATTAACTATTAGCTATTCCTTAACTATTAGCATAACGTGCTAATTTGGGTTTAATAATCTTATGATTCCTGCATTCACCTGTTTACTTGAAAGAATTTATGTTTTTTTTTTGAAGAAGAAATTTATTTCTATAAATTTTTAGTACTTTGTTTTACCATGTTTGTGGGACTTTCCCCCCCCCCCCCATACTACCCTATATCAAATCTTTCCTATCTCAATAACATATAAATTAAGAATTCTAGAGATGTGGCTATTTTTTAATTATTTTATATTATTTGATGATATTTTACAGACTAAAAAATAAACAAATCCTGTAAATTCTGAAAAAAAAAAAAAAAAAAAAAAAAGAATTTATTTTCTTCGTAATTGTTCATCCTGGCTGAAACTAGAAGATTAATATCCATATTCAAGCAGTGGGGGAATAGATTTTAATATGATGTTAGTTTGAGGAATTGTATCATGCATTCCAGAGGGAAAGAAATGTATTTCTTCTGTTCTTAAAGAGCAGACTGAAGGATTTGGCAAATATAGAGAGAAAAATATTTTTCCAGTACAATATATCTACCTTCAGGCTCAACACATAAACTCTAAAACAAACAAACAAAAAAATCAACAAGTTTATTAAAATGCAAAATATTTATTTATTTATTTATTTGTTTGTTTATTTATTTATTTATTTATGGTCAGAAACTCAAAATCCTGGAAGAGCTACAGCACACAATCCCCCTTGTGTTCTCCTCACTTGCTGTTCTGATTCACAGCACAAAAGACTCTAGGAAGGATCCTGTAAAAGACATAAGCTAGCTCACACAAATACTTCATACACAGTAGTAGGAAATGAAGACGCTGAGCAGTCCAGCTGACTGGACTAATCCTTTTCCCCTACTCCTTCCCCAGGTGGAAGTGAAAGAGGGGATGGAGGAATCCTGGCCCTGTTGAAGGTAATGGAAAGTTTACCTTTGTTTAAATTTAAAGTACCAAAGTGTTTAGATTATTTTTAAATGGACCTATAAACATGACAGGAGATGATGATTTTAGCAAATAAAAATTTTTGAAATTAACATTCTCTTTTCCTACAGACTACAAAACATGTAAATAAACAACTCCATTTCCTTCCCTCTCTTCCATTCAGCATCTCTATGTCTTCTTTTTAACTGTATCTATTAGGAATAGCAAATTCTACTGCATCCTCCTTCAGACATGAGAGAGAAGCCTCCTTCAAACGCAAGAGAGAAACTTACAGACACATGTGAATAATCCTGTATTTCAGAACTTGTTTACATGGCTGTGCATGGGCATATTGAAACAAGGCACAGAAAAAAAAAAAAAAGAAAAAAAAAAAAAAAAAAGGTGTCTGCTAGTCCTAAAGAAAGGTCTTTTTTTTTTTTTCTTAGGGTATCAGAATGTTACTTTTGGCATCAAGTCTAGAGTGATCACTTAATAATGGAACCAATGGTCTAAATACTGTCACTGAATTTGGAGAATGTGTAGATTTTTTTTATTTTTTTTCAAAAGAAAATCAAATGACTAAATGCAGTCCTAAAGAAAGAATCTACTAATGAATGGATCTTAGTTTTACAGACTTATGATGATTTACCAAAATTATACATTATAAGAAGATTTTTAGTTTCCTTGGACCTTCTTCTATGCTCACTGGTGATAAAATCAGAAGGTTACAACTTCCAATATGTTAAGTCTTTTCCTCGTGATGTTGCAAGTTTATCTTCTTATAAATATTTTTCCAATACCCTACTATAAATTCTTTTCGAGTATTGTAGACATAAAATATAGATGTAATCATTTCCATTATACAGTTACATGTTTGACAAAACATTCACTTTTTTAATTACAGATTTATTTTATCAGCTTCTAACTTCACTGGTGTTTATGGATATTCTTGAGGTTTAAATTCAAGAAGGCAGAGAACAAAAGACTGCTGGAATATCCTCCTTTAATCTCCATTCTAATCATTACGATAGAAATATAATCTGACCAATATGTTTTCAGTTCTGAACTTCCTCAGTTAATGGATATAATAATGGATAATGGTTCCCAATCCCACTAGTTGACAGTGTTTTATTTATTTATTATTTTAGTTTAGTTTAGTTTAGTTATCCTATTGCTAGAACAAAATTGATACTTTCATTCATTTTGTTCTCTGATTATTTTCATCATTTACAGGATTCATTTTAAACACATTCTCTATCAAGAAAAAAAATGCCCCTATTATTAAATGCTTGTATGCAATATATATTGTGGTCTTTCTTGGCCTGTCTAAAGTATTTTTATTAATGTGCAGAATCACCTGATGTCACTTATGATGTCTCTCTCCCACTTTCAGTCTACACTGCTTTTGCTCAATCTAACATGTTGCCATTTTCATTTAATTCAAACCTCATAGGCTACAAACATACATTCAAAACATTGTTTTTTTCTCAAGCATAAATGTGTCTGCAGTGAATGCTGACTGAAGAGTAACACACATTCCTATTCACAAGGTGAATTATTAGATGACCTATAGGACAAATGAGGGAACTGAGTATTTCACACCTGGTGATATTGGCACTGAAGAATGTCAAGAAATGTTAGGAAATTTTCTCTTATTCAGAATTCCACATGGCATGCTAAAATGCCATTAATTTTTATGTGCTTTTGCAAAGCATTGACCATTAGTCAGCATAATGGAACTGTTACATTAATGCATTTAAAGAGTTTCATTTTTTTTGGTGACATTCTCTGACTTCATCAGAGAGTAAAATGTCTCAACAGTTACACACTGGGCCTGTCTCTAAGACACTGAAAGGCCCATTCATAATCTATTTTCTTTCTTTTCTTTTAACTCCATATTAAACAAATAAACAAACATAACAAAACTGAAAACACAACCACCACCAACCAAAAAAATAACAAACTCTGTAGACCTTCTTCATGCTTACACCGATTTTTGAAGTTGTCACAATAATAATAGCGATGTAACTACTCCTGCCTGAAGCACTGATACAGAAGGTACACGAACATGTTTTTATTATTATTATTATTATTTATTTTATTTTTTTATTTCCTTATCTCCTTTCCTCACTTATCACCAAGTCCCACTGTTGAATGTTCTCAGTCAGCTATTGTAAATATTGTAGAAAGCATACCATAAGTACTCTGTTTCATTTGACCAACAGACCCAAAAGACTTACTCTTGGAAATGTTTGTTTCTTCAGATAAAAACATCAAAAGAAATGCAACTCATAAAACAGTTCAGAGAGAATTTATTTGAAAACACATTTTAATCATTGGAGATCTTATTAGGTCTTCCTTTAGAAAGCTGAACTGAATATAAAATTTAGATATCTTTATTAACTCAGATAATAAAGAATCAATGGCAGGAAAATAACTCAGGAGTATTCTTCCAATTTAAAAATGAATCAAGAATATGTCTTTCCAACCTATATCTTTCCCATCTCCAACACAGAGCTGGATGAACGAGGGCAAAAATAGAGTATTGTAACTATTCAAAAGAGGGTAATTTTTAGAAACCCAATAGATGCTTCAGAGAGCATGTTTTCATATCTACTGCATGAATCTTCAAATCCTTCTTCACAAGCATGTAGCTGGCAGACTATCTTTTAAGGGCTGACACACAACCCCTCACATTGTTCACTCTCCCTATATCGATATATCTGTGAAGGATGTAACATGGCCCTAATATTTGAACATTTGCCGAACATTTGAGCATATAAAATTTCCATTATGGTAGGATAGTACTACTGGCAGCAGACTAAAGCTTTAAATGCACCTCTTAATGAAGCTCCCTCGCATAATTTTCCAAATAATGGAATTAAAAGCCACATATTCACGTCATTTTTATATCCCAAATGTAGTTTCTCATGCCTACTTTGTAACAAATTATTTCCCTATTTCTAACCATGCTAGAAACAATTTTTTAAAAGGTTAAGATGACTGTGAATGTAAAAAACAAACAAACAAACAAAATAATAATATAATAAGAGCAAGGTAAAAAATGGAGGATTAGCAAAAGCATCTTCTAAGTATTCATTTTAATCATGACTCATTTGCCATTAAACAGTCACTTTAATTGTCGCCGCTTATTTGCTAATAACTGTCTTCAAAGTAAAACACAATAAAGCACTATGTTTTGTGCTGTGCCTTTTACACCTAGTGTTCTTACAGGATTGACCTGCCCTCCGAACCTAGCTTTGGCAGTTCATTAAACAACAGTGACAGCAGGTCAGTTAAAAGCCATTAAAATGATGCACTACCTGAGCCATAATTATACAATAAGTACCTCAGTGTTGTCTCTGTGGGACAGTCGTTGAGACTCAAAGAATCTCAAGAGACATTAAAATAATAATATAAAAAAAATGTCAATTTTAGTGTTTAAGGTCCACCTACAGGTAAAACATCAAATGGCGAAATCTGTCACTTAACAGATTTTTCATGTATTGCCATGGGTACAAACAGAAATAATGTCCAGTTCAGGATAAGGTAAATTATTAATGTAAAATTATTAATTTAATAAAAGGTAGAAAAAAAAAAAAAAGAATGAATGAATGAAAGAAAGAAAGAAAGAAAGAAAGAAAGAAAGAAAGAAAGAAAGAAAGAAAGAAAGAGAAAGAAAGAAAGAAAAAAAGAAAAAGAAAAAGATAACCAACCCTTTATTTTTGAGAGTTGTAGGACCTCAAAGTACACCACATAGATTTCAGATTGCATGTGGTGTAGAGAGAAGAATGGTTTTTCCATATACGCTCTTGATATATGGACAGCAGCTCCACAGAGAAGGATCTGGGGTTGTGGTTAATAGCAAACTGAAAATAAGCCAGCCCTGGCAGCCAGGAGGGCCAACTGTATCCTAGGGTGCAACAAGCATGGCATTGCTGGTCGGCTGAGAGAAGTGACTGTCCTGCACTACTCTATGCTGGTGCAGCCTCACCTCGAGTACTGAGTTCAGTTCTGGGCACCACAGTACAGAAAGGATGTGAAACTCTTGTAGAGTGTCCAGAGAAGTGATACAAAGATGTTGAAGGGCCTAGAGGGGAAGATGTATGAGGAGCAGCTGAGGTCAGTTGGCCTTTTCAGCCTGGAAAAGAAGAGGCTGAGGGGGTTCCTCATCGTGGTCTACAGCTTCCTCATGAGGGGGAGTGGAGGGGCAGGTACTGATCTATTCTCTTTAGTGACCAATGATAGAACCTGAGGGAATGGTGTCAAAATGTGACAGGGGAGGTTCAGGCTAGATATCAATAAGAGATTCTTCACCGAGAGAGTTGTCTCGCACTGGAACAGGTTCCCCGGGGATGTAGTCACAACACCAAGCCTGTCGGAGTTCAAGAAATGTTTGGACTATGCTCTTAGTCATATGGTCTGAAATTTTGGGTAGACCTGTGTGGTTCTGTTAGTTGGACACAATGATCCTTATAAGTCTCTTCTGACTTGGGATATTCTATGGTTCTATGATTCTATGATATATGTGCCCTGTTACGCTTGTTTTGAGGTGCTACAAGCTTCCCTTTACCATTGGAGGTACCAGTGGTTACAGAGGAAATACAATCTTAAAATATTATTTTCCTACAAGTATTCTCCTGTATTATCCAGAATAGTTAATATCATATTAACTATTATTACTAATATTTATATTGTTCATATAAACTAAGGGGAAAGAAAAAAAAAAAAAAGAAAAAAAAAAAACACCTATCTTGGGTTGGTCTTTCCCCTTACCTGGGAAAAATGAATCTTTACATCTAGAGGTCTTTTAAAATAATGTATCTTTCTGTCTACAACATGGCAAATTTGTAATGTTACATTTCTGTCTCATCAACTATAGGGAGGCTTCAGAAATGATTCATGGCTCTCCTGAAGTACCTGCTATATTATGTAGGTGTAGTATGACCATGGATTCATAACTGGGTGATGGTATGTATAGCTTGCTGAAATTGGCTTTCATGTAGCAACAGCTGTAAACTGCTTATGACTACAAGTAATGGGACTGCAAGAAGCTCCTCAAAAATTGCTTAAATTCAACTTATTCTACATGGGACAATCATAAAGAAATTAAATATAACAGCGACACTGTGGAGATCTCCATACCAATTCCAAACACATCTATATGAAGTCCTCTACGTATATGCAACACTTGATCCATACAAATAAAAACATAATGATGGTAAAATAGTCTTCCTGAGTGTGTAGTACAGCCAGCATGCGGCATTCTCTGTCCATAAACTAAGCTTTTGTCCTTAAGTTTGTCCAAACCAGTCATCCAACTGATGACTTATTGTTTCCAAAAACATCTAAATATTCTACAGTTCATTCACTCATGTTGTAGCCCTGTGGAATTTCTGCATTTTAAAGTACCTGCTTGTCTAAAATGTAACACAACAAAAGCTTTCTTTTTCCTTGTAAAGTGACCTGAAGCATGTGATTGTGTCTTACTCAATTCATGCTCAAGGTTTTTGTTCAGTCTGCAAAATCTCCCTCCCTTGAACATTGTTTGGATTCATTAAAGGCTGCTAGAGCTGAGTGTTTCACACTAGGCACCTCTGATTTTTTCTCATAGTGCTGCATACCATTCACTGCACTGCAGTAAAGCTGCAGTTTCCAGAGTCCAATCCTGCCATTAAACTTTCATTGGAAAGATTTACAGCCCCTTTGTGCCACAAGTGTCTGTGTTTTAACTGAGTACCGAAGACTCAAGGTTAACAAAAAAAGCCCTTGCTGTTCAAGTAAAACACTGCAATATTCTTTAGAGGAATGTTATAGAAAGTGGGCAGAAATTATTAATGGCACTCACAGATTAAGCTGCTTTGAGGGTTCTTTCCTTGATGTTTACAACTGTATTTCAGCTAAACCTTGATGTCTCTATTTTGTAAGCAGAATTAATTTAAATGTTCAACCTTCTCATAGCAAAATTTATATCTGAGTCTTTTCTTAATCCTAGTGAAGTGCTTTGTAGCCATTACAGCCACCAGAGGGAAAGAAAAAATCTTTCCTATGTCTGTCTGATCCACTTCTTCCCTGAGCTTCTATTCCTATGAAGGTCGCTAAAATAAATAAAAATTAAATAATAATAATAATAATAATAATAATAATAATAATAATAATAATAATAATAATAATAGTAATAATAGTAATAATAGTAATAATAATAATAAAAACTTCTTTACTTTGTAAGAGATAATTGCTATCTGTATGACAGTTCCTTCAAGTAGAAGACATTTCCTCTGATTTTTCAGTATCTAAGTGAGCTGTTTTTTTTCCCTGAGATGTGTTTTTTCCTAATAATTTTCCTATTTTAAAACCAAAAATACAATGCTTTATTCTTCTCACTGAGCTACTGAAAAAAAATAGTTTGAGGGAACACACTAATCAAAAATGTATTAAATATGAATAAGCCCCAGTTACATACTGTCTCGTGCATACCAAATAGTGCTATAGTGCTGCGGCACAATCAGGGTTTGAAGCCATTGCTACAGAATGTTGACTAGCTTAGTAGTATGTTATCAACCGAAAGGAATGCTGAAGGTCAGACTTACCCAGTTTTGGCGAAGTTCGTCCAATATGTCATAACTACTGCACTAAGCATGACATCATTCTTGGAAAAATTGCAATTGAAAAGTTCTGTTGGGCCAATCATAGGAATGCCAAACACGTAAGGAACTTCATCACCATGAGCTGAATCAGCCCAACTTGGTTTCATTTCACTTTGGCAGTGGTGATAAAATGCATAGAAATACGTTGGAGATCCATACTGGGCATGAAGGTCAGCAGTGGCAACAGCAGGAGCAACCCACTGATGGTCAGTAAATAGTGCTACCAGGGTCTTCCGTCTTGTTTCAGGGTTTTCTTTGTCTGCCCAATCGGTGTACATGAATTTAATGGTCTCTCGCAGTGTATCTTTCCCTTCTGGATAACCATATAGATTGTCCACAAAATTGGAGACAGAAAAGTCAAAATCATTGGGGGAAACACCATCTTCATTGTCAACTATGCCATCCACAAATTTTAAACCTTCCCCTTGATTCACACCCAGCATTATATCATAGTTAAGGAATTCTCCTTGCTCCATGAGAATCTGGGGGTCATCTGGAATCACGTCTCCATCTATCACAGGCCCAAAGGCAATGTGGTATGTGGCTGGAGTGATGGTCTGTTGAATGAGTTCTTTGTAGTTCTTATTTCGAAGGCATTCAACCAAATCAGTGGTATCCAGCATGTCACAGCCGACTTTATCTGCCAATATCCTAGTGTACTTGGCAGGCTGGTAGTTCACTGCCCAGCTGGACAGGGCTGTTCCACTCTGTATGATTGCCTTTTGGAACAAACCTGCAGGTGCAAATTGTTTAGATACAAACCAAGTTATATATTACAAAAACTAAACTAAACTAAACTAAACTAAAGATAAAATAAAATAAAGTAAAATAAATAAAATAATCAGCATTCACTAAGCAAAGAATGTATTGATTATACAATAACTAAAGGATGCATATTCTTATATTCCAATTCAGTTTCTATATGTTCTACTCACTGCTCCTTTTTAATAGTATATGTAATAGGCTACTAATTAAATTCTCTCTTGTTCTTGATGCTCACATACAGAAAGCATGAAGGTTTCAGGTTACTGGTTCAAGAACAAAACTCATGTTTGTACTGCAGTTTTCTTGCATTTTTAATTTAAATGCTAGTCCCCTGGATTTAGCACAGTGGTAATCCCGTAAAAATTTCTTTAAAGGAATGGCAACTACAAGCAATCATATCCTCTTCACCATGTAAATGACTCTCATAAATGCAGTCTTCAGTAGTTTAAAGGTCAAATGAAAATTACACACTCTCATTTCCTTCACAGAAGCTATGCATCATATAATTTGAAAAAATCTGCTCTGCTAAAATCAATTTAATAGGCTTGAACCTTCTCCTCTGACTTTTTTTTCATTACCACCTGAGAGGGTGTATATATAGTGTTAGTAACGCTTATATGGTGATTTAAAATGTTTGCATATTTTAGAAGAAAATAAGGCAAAATGAAATAGTTCTGGTTGTTTTATATTTTTATAATATTGAAAAGAAAAAAACAGACACAAACTAAAGAGTTTCTTTGTGACACCAGAGCACTGCAAATCATGGAGCTTATTTCAGAATCAGACCCATCTTTTTCCAGGTAAGATAACTAAAATGGCCTATTGTATACTTAAACTAAAAAGCCTGAGCACCTTCTGCACATGGTTTCTACACTCAAGCTCTTGAAATACCAAAGACAGCAAGAGCTACAAAAATATTTGAAGACCTTGAAGCATTTACAGGGAAAGGGGGCCAATACACCTTTGTGATGACTACTTACTGCACAGGGTATAAAATTTCAGTAATGCAATTAGTTGATTTTTTTCATTGTTCCATCTGCTTGCTTTTAGCAGGGATTACTCAACAGTTACTCACTTCACAGTATTGTATCAATTCCCTGAAATGTCAGAAATAATTCTATGTACTTTCAAATAGGATATGATTACTAGCTACAAATGACTGCTATGGCTTAGACTTCTGCCATAGATTTCTGTATGTTTGATTATGATAGGAGTAACATGGAGTTATAAATATAATACATATTTGTTTGTTTGTTTGTTTGTTTTTGGCAAGGTTTATGTAGCAGGGGGGCTGTAGGAGCAGACACTATAAGCAGAGTCCAGAAGCTGCCCCATATTAGATAAGAGCCAGTTCCAGCTTTTCCCTCTTGGAAAAGGGACCCACCACTGGACAAAGTTGATCCAATAAGTGACACTGGTTGTGCCTTTGTAAGAGCATGTGTAAGAAAGGAAAATAGCTGCTGTGCCACAGACGCTGGGATAGATGAGTGAGATAACGTTGAGAGAGAGAGCCCTGCAGACACCAAGGTCAATGGAGGAGGAAGAGGAGGTGCTCCAAGCACCAGAGCGAAAGTTCATCTTCAATTCACGGAGGGACCAAGGTGAAGCAGGCTGGATGGGAGGGAAGGTGTTTTTAGTTTGCTTTTAGTTTCTCACTGCTGTAGTCTACTAAGAATAGAGAATAAATTATGTTAATCTCCCTGTGCTGAGCCTTGGTGAGCAATTTCCAGTGAACAGGAACCCATATCTCAGCCCTTAAGCAATTTTTTCTTCCTATTTTTTCACTCTCTTCCTTTCAGGACAGAGAGTGAGAGAGCAGTGAGAGAGCAAGGTTAGCCATCAGTGTAAAGCCATCACATTGGTCTTGTCTTTTATTCATTTTTTTGCAGAATTGGTCTTGTCAATAACAATCAGTACACTACTGTTGCTATATGTTCTTTGTTTGTTGTTGGTGGCGGTTGGTTGATTGTTTTCTGAGGCAGAAATTCTGCAGCTCTGACACTTACCAAAATCTTAAGAACTCTGTGTAGGAGCTACTTGTGGAGAGTTAATCATTTTTTCGAATGAAATTGAGTTTTATTGTTATTTAGTAAGGAAAATATCTAAATACATGCTGGAAAGGTAGACAAGAATGTTTAAGAAATTAAAAATGTCACTGCTCTGTTTAATTTTAAATATGTCATATTCTTTGATGGAAGATTCAGTGGAGACTGTTGATAAATCCAGACAAATAATATATGGCCTGTGGCAGTTTTTTGTGTGAAATTTCTACTACAAAAACATGCATTTTTAATGTAAAATATTTATGTTGATTAATACAAATGCAGAATACTGGATAGTAGGTATTTTACAAAAAATTACAGACATAGTGTCATTCTAATTCAGCCAACATGGTTTGGCCATTTTCCTTAAATTATATAGATATGCATATATACATGTATATAAAGTTTTATTTTGTTTTAAAAGTGTACTGTTGATTTACAAAAGAATCATTTTACTGTTACTGAACTACGTTTTGCTCAGGAGATCCTTACCTTCTGAATAGTGAGAGAGTGTCAGAAGACTGACACAGGAAGCTCCTGCCCCAGATCCAAAAATAGTAACTCTTTTTGGGTCTCCTCCAAAAGATCCAATATTTTCTTCAATCCAACGTAAAGCTTGGATTTGGTCAAGCAGTCCATAATTGCCTTTTGCAGCTTGGTCCCCAGTACTTAAAAAACCTGTAAGGAAAAAAGGGATAATTTTAGTTCAACTGAAAGAGTTAGCTACAAGGTAAACATATATTCTGAGCTCCCCTCTCCCCTTTTTTTGTAAAAAAAAAAGTTACAGTCCTAGTTGCATGTCTCCATGTTGAGGAAATCATTCTGCGTTGTTTGGTTTTGGTTTGTTTTGCCCTAATGCAGAGATAATGTTTGTGAAAGATCATCATTTATTTTCTGAAATAATTCTGTATCAATGAAAAAATATATGAAGATTTTAAGCATTTGACAATTTCATGTGATTAAGGTATAAAAAAAATTGTAAATTGTTTTTATGCAAAGACTACATACAGGAATAAGTGAGATAACAAATCTTCCACTATGAACAATGCTCACTAACACACTAATTTAAATGCTTCTTAACATTGTCCGAAATTCTTCTGACATATATAGCTCTATAAATTATTGTACTTGTGATATGTATGGACAAGCTCAGAAAAAGAAAAAGGATGAAAAAAATAGAAAAAGAATCAGCAAACAATGTAGGGAAAGAAAAATTACACTCAAATTTTTGCAACGGTTATTTATTAGGAAGATAGCAGATAAATTGTGAGCAATTCAGTCTTTGATCGAGATATTTTATCTGAACAAATCAGTTTTTGTTTCTTTCATTGGAAATTGCAGTAAGAACTGTGCTGCTATTTTTTGCTCCTGTACTGTGTTTATCAGATTTTAGAAACAAAGCATGACACATTTGCTGCCTGTCTTGCAACTTAGAGCAAAATGACTGAGAGACTAGGACTGAGATTAATTTTGCTTTTCTGAAACCAGCTAACCAGAAATGTTATCCATGCCCATCATTCAGTCTAGACTTTGTGTTATGTTCAAATTACCACATTGAATCATGTACTTACACCCCTCTAACTCCCACAGACCTTTTCCTGTCAGACAACTGGAAGCCAGGAGTCTATTAGAATACCTTACAACACTAGAATACCTTACAACAATGTTTGCAGGTGGACATTACTGATTTAGGTACCACTGGTAGTTGCTTGTCAAGTCAAAGAAGGAACTCACTGATGTTTCCAAGCAAATTTTAATTTCAGGAAAATTTGCCAGAAGAGGGACCCAGGACTCAGGGGATCTGCAGTCCTGGAGCAGTTTGAAATTAAAGTGAGAAAGAGATTCACTGTCTGCAACCTTGAGACACCTTAGCCTTCCTGTTCCTAGCAAGGACTACAAGGGAGACCTGAAGTCCTAAGGAAAATAGACCTTACACTACATTTGAACTCCTTTGGCAAATGGGAACAGATTCATTTGCACTGCCTCGGCCATTTGCCGAGGCGATCGGCTCCGGGGCAGACGCGTTCTGCGGCGGAGCGGGGGATCGGGCCAGGCAGGGCTAACTTTCCGGCATCGAGCCGACTTCAGGGAGCCGCCAGGAGCCGGCAGCCCTCGTGAGGGACGCTGACGAGGCGAAGGCGGAGCCAGCAGCGTCCCCTCCCCGGCCGTTCAAAAGCAGCCCCTAGGGAGCGCGAGCGACCAGGAGCGCGGCGAACAGGACGGGCAAACAGGGAGTGGCGCGGCAGTTAGCGCGGCAGTTAGCGCGGCAGTTAGCGCGGCAGTTAGCGCGGCAGTTAGCGCGGCAGTTAGCGCGGCAGTTAGCGCAGGCAGGGCGAGCAGGAAGGGCGGAGAGCAACACCCTCCCACACGAGCACCTGTTAACGACAGTCGTTAGCAAGGTGAGAATGGTCTCCACCAGGAACGGAGCGCTCTACAGGAGGTCGGTACACACCCAGACCGACTGCCTGTTAAGGAATGCAGCGGTTCAGGTCAACGGATGCAGGGAGTGTCAGAGCCTGCTGCTGCCATCAACGGGAGGCAGGGACGCTGCGTGTGTGAGGTGTGAGCAGGTGGATGACCTGGTCCGCATGGTGGCGGAGCTCAAGGAGGAGGTAGAGAGGCTGAGGGCCATTAGGGAGTGTGAGCGGGAGATTGACTTCTGGAGCAACTCCCTGCAGGGCATCAAGGAGAGGTACCGGGGTGAGACACCCCAAACGGGGGTGGACCCCTTGCCCTGTCGCCGTCGGGCTGAGGGAGGGGATCTGGGAGCTGAGGAGGAGTGGAGACAGGTCCCTGTGCGACGTGGCAGGCGATGCCCTCCCCCTCCGGCCCCACCTTCCCAGGTGCCCTTACAAAACAGGTTTGAGGCCCTGGAGATTGAGAGACCGGTAGCTGAGGAAGAGATAGAAAGTGTTCCCAGGAGGATGCCTAGGGCGAGGAGGTCGACTCCACGCATCAGAACTGCCTCCACCAAGAAAGAAAGAAGGGTGATTGTCGTGGGAGACTCTGTCCTTAGGGGGACGGAGGGCCCTATTTGTCGGCCTGACCCTACCCGTAGGGAAGTCTGCTGCCTCCCTGGGGCTAGGGTCAGGGACGTGGCCAGGAAGCTCCCCAACCTGGTGCGCCCCTCTGATTATTATCCGCTCCTGATAATCCAGGCGGGCACTGATGACATTGACAACAGAAGCCTGAAGGCTATCAAAAGAGACTTTAGGGGACTGGGACAGTTAGTGGACGGAGCAGGAGTGCAGGTAGTTTTTTCGTCCGTCCCTACGTTGACAGGGAGGGGTACGGAGAGGACAACGAAAGCTCACCTGTTAAACACGTGGCTCCGGGGCTGGTGCCTACGCAGAAATCTTGGGTTTTTCGACCATGGGGCAGTTTACTCAGCACCTGGTCTGGTGGCCGTAGACGGGTCCCTATCCTTTAGGGGGAAAAGGATCCTGGGCCAGGAGCTGGCGGGGCTCATTGATAGGGCTTTAAACTAGGTAAGAAGGGGGATGGGGCTGGAGCGAGGACTGTTGGGGCTGTACCAGGGGGAGCAGTGGCAAGGCCGGAGGATAAGGTAAAGGCCCAGCTGAAGTGCATCTACACCAATGCACGCAGCATGGGTAACAAACAGGAGGAGCTGGAAGCCATCGTGCAGCGGGCAGGCTACGACTTGGTTGCCATCACGGAAACGTGGTGGGACCAGTCTCATGACTGGAGTGCTGCGATGCCTGGCTATAGGCTCTTCAGAAGGGACAGGCAGCATGGAAGGGGTGGCGGTGTGGCTCTCTATATTAGAGAGTCTTTCGATGTTGTAGAACTCGAGGCTAGGAATGACAAGATCGAGTCCCTTTGGGTTAGGATCGGCAGGGACAACAAGGCTAGTGTCCTGGTCGGGGTCTGCTATAGACCGCCGAACCAGGATGAGGAGACGGATGAGGAGTTCTACAGGCAGCTGACAGAAGTTGCGAAATCGTCAGCGCTTGTACTCGTGGGGGACTTCAACTTCCCTGACATATCCTGGAAGCACAACACAGCCCAGAGGAAGCAGTCTAGGAGGTTTCTGGAGAAAGTGGAAGATAGCTTCCTGACGCAGCTGATTAGTGAACCTACCAGGGGTGGTGCCCTGCTAGACCTTCTCTTCGCAAACAGAGAAGGACTGGTGGAGGATGTGATTGTCGGGAACAGTCTTGGGCAGAGTGACCACGAAATGGTGGAGTTCTCTATTCTTGGCGGGGCCAGGAAGGGAACCAGTAAAACCACTGTATTGGACTTTCGGAGGGCTGACTTTAGGCTGCTCAGGACACTGGTTGGTGGAGTCCCATGGGAGGCGGTTCTGAAGGGCAGAGGGGTTCAGGAAGGCTGGGTGCTATTCAAGAGGCAAATCCTAATGGCACAGGAACGGTCTATCCCCATGTGCCCAAAGATGAGCCAGCGGGGAAGACGACCAGCCTGGCTCAACAGAGAATTGTGGCTTGAGCTTAGGAGGAAAAAGAGGGTTTATAATCTTTGGAAAATTGGGCAGGCCACTAGGGAGGACTATAAGGATGTAGCGAGGCTGTGCAGGGACAAAATTAGGAAGGCCAAAGCTCATCTGGAGCTCAAGCTGGCTACTGCCGTTAAAGATAACAAAAAACGCTTTTATAAATACATCAACACAAAAAGGAGGACTAAGGAGAATCTCCATCCTTTACTGGATGCGGGGGGAAACTTAGTTACAAGAGATGAGGAAAAGGCGGAGGTGCTCAATGCCTTCTTTGCCTCAGTCTTTAGTGGTAAAACCGGTTGCTCTCTGGATACCCAGTACCCAGAACTGGTGCAAGGGGACGGGGAGCAGGATGTGGCCCTCACCATCCACGAAGAACTGGTTGGTGACCTGCTACGGCACTTGGATGTGCACAAGTCGATGGGGCCGGATGGGATCCACCCAAGAGTACTGAGAGAACTGGCAGAGGAGCTGGCCAAGCCCCTATCCATCATTTATCAGCAGTCCTGGCTATCGGGGGAGGTCCCAGCTGACTGGCGGCTAGCAAACGTGACGCCCATCTACAAGAAGGGCCGGAGGGCAGACCCGGGGAACTACAGGCCGGTCAGTTTGACCTCAGTACCAGGGAAGCTCATGGAGCAGATCCTCTTGGGAGTCATCATGCGACACTTGAAGGGCAAGCAGGCGATCAGGCCCAGTCAGCATGGGTTTATGGAAGGCAGATCCTGCTTGACGAACCTGATCTCCTTCTACGACAAAGTGACGCGCTGGGTGGACGAGGGAAAGGCTGTGGATGTGGTCTACCTTGACTTCAGCAAGGCTTTTGACACCGTTTCCCACAGCATTCTCCTCAAGAAACTGGCTGCTCTTGGCTTGGACTGGCGCACGCTTCGTTGGGTTAGAAACTGGCTGGATAGCCGGGCCCAGAGAGTTGTGGTAAATGGAGCCAAGTCCAGTTGGAGGCCAGTCACTAGTGGCGTCCCCCAGGGCTCGGTGCTGGGGCCGGTCCTCTTTAACATCTTCATCAATGATCTGGATGAGGGCATTGAGTGCACCCTCAGTAAGTTTGCAGATGACACCAAGCTAGGTGCGTGTGTCGATCTGCTTGAGGGTAGGAAGGCTCTGCAGGAGGATCTGGATAGGCTGCACCGATGGGCTGAGGTCAACTGTATGAAGTTTAACAAGGCCAAGTGCCGGGTCCTGC